TGCTGTTGTAGTTATGCCTCAAACTCACTTCTAATTTACAGCACACCTATGAATTAATAGCCTCTCAAAGGTCTTCTCATCAACAGCTTTGCTTACGACTTGCAGACTAATAGTAATTTTGGAACTGCAGAGCTGGAAAGGACCCTATGGATCATTGGGTCCAAACCATGTCAAGGAGGCATAGTGGGGAATCAAACTCCCAACCTCTAAACCTCAGAGCTAAAGCCTGTGGCTTCCATTATTGAGTCAATTCATATCAGGTTGGGTTTTCCTTTCGTCTTGCTGCCTTCAGCTTTTCTCGGCATTACTGACTTTTCCAGTGAGTCTTGTTTTCTTCTGATATGTACGACACTCTCAGTTTAATCATCTGAACTTCTTTTGAGAATTCAGGCATGATGCAATGTAGAACCCATTTATTTTTGTTGTGGTCTGTTGTAGCCATAAAGACTTACTCCACTACCACTCAACGTCATACTATCTAGGTTTATAAAGAGTTCCAGAGAATTTGAAAGCTTGTGTGTTCTCTGTCATTTTACTTGAGCATATTGAATGCACTGTCCATCTGTGGATTGTGCTTTTTTTTCTTCATTCTTATGGATCAACACAACCTCAATTCTTTTTGCAGCAAGATTCTTGTGCTAGAGCAACATGCTGCAGCTATAAAATATGAACACCAACTGCCAAATCCTTTATTAGCTAGAACCATAAAAATACCAGCTAGAAAAGAGGAAGCTGGCTTGGATTGTTAGGAGCTTGCAGTTGTGAGTTTCAGGATCATTGGGTAACTCAGTTTATCTTCTCCTAAAAGAAATGAGCAGATAAAAAGTAGTTAGGTTTTCTAGGCAAGAGGATGGGTTGTCTTAAGAAAGGATGAAATAGGAAGATCATCACAATTTATATATCCATTCATTTTAATCACTTACACTTCACTTTTCAGCTGGCAAGACATAAATCAATAGAAAGAAGGTAGATCCTGCTCTCAGGCTTGTATTCTAAATGGTTCTGACACCAAAAAAAGTGGAGTTGGAAAAAGAAAACAGCAAAACTGAGATGCTAGTTCTTAATGTGACATCATTCTTATGGTAGTCAGCTGTGGTAGAAATACATTTATCACAGTTTTGAAACGGGTCTTAGCAGATCTCTAATAGGCTGGTGACTTGGTTTGCCTCAAAATGATTGTAGTGGAGGGTGGAGTTTTTGTTTTTGTTATTGTTAGTAATCATAGCACTAGTATTTAGTTATCCCCGTCCATAAGACTCACCTCCCAAAAGTTTAATGATAAATCTTAAAAACAGTTGTCTTTTAAAGCAGGAGCAGGCCACAGTGGCTTTCTAGATGTCCTTTTTCATCTACAATTCTCATCACCTCTAGCCAAGATTCACAATAGGGAGGGATTATGGGAATTTAAGCTGCAAAAATCTGGAGGCAGCAACTGACATTTCCATGATTTTGCAGGCTTAGCTGGTATCCAATGGCTTATTTGGTAATTATAATTTTAGTTACTAGCTGTTGTAGTTGCTTCATTAATTTTCTGTCCCGGACTTGATGGTGGCATGTGAAAATCTCCTTCTCACTTCCTCCTCCTAAGCAAACTCCTATAGGGTCATGGATAATTAGAGTGTTCAACATCCTGGCAAAGAGGCAGTTCTTATATCTTACACTTTTATGGTGTAATGTAAGCTAATGCACTTTTAATAAAAGTTCAGAGCCCAGAGAAGGCCAACTGCTATCCATTTGAACTGCAAGCAGTGATGTTCATTTCAAAAGCAGACAAAAATGAAGAACCAAACCCTTAATCTTTTTCTGTCTTCCCTTTTTCCTCCCTTACCTGGTAGAGATTTGTTGGATTGCCATATTCTGCACTTCCTTCTTTCCATTGTTGCTGCTGTTTTTTATTTTACACTTTATTATCGCTGTGCTTTTTTTTTGGGGGGGGGGATGAAAATATCCCAGCTTCCATAAATTACACAAGCTGTTTCTTGTTTTCTCGCCATCCTCTTATAGATTAGCTTCTTGGTTCCAACACAAATTCAGCACCCCAGGGCAATACAGTATGTCTTTCATTAGAAAGTGGTGTGTGTGCACGCATGCATGTGCACACTTGCACCCAGCCATGTGTATGGCTGCACACCCTGTTTTGAATACCCTTGCACTTGCGGCACTGTGCCCATGCACCCATTACCCACAAACACAATGAGTGAGAGAACAGCACTTTCTCACATTTCTTCTGAAGCATTTTATGCCACATGCTGATGCCTGTGAACTTTGAGAAACTGTTTCCTTTGGCAACTTGCAGTTTTAATTGCTATGCATATGGTTAAGCTCTTTTCATTTACCTGCGAGATGGAAGGGGGCATAACTAGGAACTGCTTACTCATTAGAATAAATGTCACAGTTCTACCTCCATTCCTCCCCCCCCCGTTTATTCCTTCTACTGTTCTTCCAGTTGAGCAAGCAAGTTTGTAAAAGCAATTTTAATTAAAGTACGTGCATCTGGTTGCAGCTGTGCACCTAATGAGGGGGCTAAAGGGTCACTGACAAATGTTTGTATAAGCACTCACCCTTGTTTTCCCCAGGAAACCACTGCTCATCTCTAATCCATCCCATAGTTAATGGATGTTGCTCTTTTCAGTGCCAGGCAACCTTTTTTGTTGATGTTGTAACTGTTGTATTTCTTGTCCTGAAAACTCATTAAGATACAAAAATTAAAATATGGCAAGAAGGATTATTTTCAATTTGCAATGAACACAGGCAATAAAAACAAAACAACCAACCAGCCCTTAATTTTTTTTTAAAAAGGAAACTGCTAGACTTGACTTTTCGTGTCTTTTCCCTGACCACTGTAGGAGTTTTCCTCCCTTTAAACTTCCATGTTGATTTTGGAGGTATTGAGTGAGGAAAAAATTACTGTATTTTTCCCACAAAACGGGGGTGGAAAGTTTGTGCGTCTTATGGAGCGAAGAAAACAGATTATATTTTCCTGTTTTCTTCTCCTAAAAAATTGGTGCGTCTTATGGAAAGGTGCGTCTTATGGAGCGAAAAATACGGTACTTTTTGAACTGCAATTTCCACTGGCTGTTTTAGATCAAATCTGCAATCGGTGCAAATTCCATATAAATCTCCCTAAGCATAAAGTCTCTAGTCCAATGTCTGCCAATTAGCTGACTTTATACTTGCTATGCTTAGCTTGGGTTTTGTTCCAGACCATTTGTGAGTGCTTTATGTCACATCATCCTTCTCAGAATCCCATAATTTTCCAATAGATCTGTGCCCATCACTCCCACCAAGCAAAGTTCAACCAGTGTTAACCTGAAGACAAGTTGATAAGCAGGAGGGCTTTGCACAGGTAACTCTAGCTTGGTTTGAAGCCCAATTCAGAATGGATTCCAATTTAGTCTGGTGTGATCTGTGCCCTTTCTGATTCAATTTCATTTGACTCTATCGGTAAAGCCTCCTGTTGTCTTGTGTTGGAGAACCAAAATGGCTTGCTTGCTTTCTGCTGATATATATGAAACTTGGAGGTGTGGTAGTCCATACAGAGTGAACATTTGCTAAAGGGGAAAAATAGGCTAAAGTTATTTGTATCTTATTCAGCTTGATCTGCTTTGCATCCTTATGGAATGGTATCCAGCCACATACAAACTGGTCTAAGTCAGCTCGATCTTATTATTAATTCAGGCTTCATCTGTAGTGGGTGTATCACCCTAGTAAATAGGAGTGGTGGAGAAAACTCATTTCAGAGATTATAGCCCCTGTATGTGATTGTAGAGAACCAGAATCCCCATAAATCTAGTTTTAGTTTATGCATGGTTGACACTTGAGCTGAACAACCATGGAATATGATGCCCTGAGATCCTTCTTCATTACCTTTGCAGCGGTTTACATTGGTTCACTTCAGAGCTTGGAGAAGTTACTTCTTTGGACTAAAGTTCCAGAAATCCCCAGCTAGTATAGTGAATAGCCATGCTGACCAGGGAATTATTGGAGATGCAGTCTAAGAATTAAATTTTCCGCACTCCAATCCAATTTAGGTAATGTTTCCTAACTGCTTGAATGATTTGCCTAGTAGTATTTGTGAAGTTTCATGAGGACACTGAATCATTTTGTTAATTGCTAGTCATCCATATAACCCATTTGATGACTGGTGCTCAAGATCTTATACTATTTGATGTCCTATCTTTTATATCTGATATTTTGGGAACTGCATGTGCTTCCACATGAACATGCAACAAAGTGATGACTTAGGTATCCTTTGGGCATCATTTGGGCATCCAAATGAGTTCAGTGGAAGACCAAAAAAGGTGAAAAAAACAAAAACAAAAACCTTTCCTTTTGTTTGTTTGTTTAGACTTATACCCTGCCCATTTAGTGAACAAGCCACTACTCTGGGCTTTTGTAAACTTCAGTATGTTTCATTAGTGTTTCCCCATGTAAAACTCCATTACACCTTTAATAACAAGTTTTTGGAATGGATTACAGGTGTGCAGTCCTGTTATGGAAGTGTTTAATGTCAAGATCAATTTGTTTGCCAATATATATCCAAACAGTAAATATGTATTACTGGGCATAGACCTATTGTGCAAACTTAATAATAGCACCTGCAGCTGACTGAGAAAGCTTTCGTACCTTCTGGGAGATCCCAAACCACCATATGGGGATGGGAATCAATGCTGTGTGATAGCTCAGTAAGCTGTGTTCTTATACTAGATGCCAAGGTCATTCTCTTCTTTCAGTGTACCCTATGACATTTTTCTTTTTGCTTTTTATTAGAAAACCCACTTCTGTTGAGCAATCCTTTTTTAGTCACTCCCCGGAGTGGCTTCAGTGTTCAAGAAGTACAAATAACTGTGATATGTACTTGAGTTAGAAAAAACAAAATTTTCTCTTTATTGGAATTCTTATAGTTTATTTTTATATATATATATATTGCTTTGGCAGATTTGCTGCTATGTAACATTTTTGGAATGAATTTCTCTACTCTGACATTGTTTGCTTCATTGTTATTCTTTCTGTACCTGCAGAAGAAAATAAAAAATTCATTAAAAAGAAAGAGAAAAAAGATCGCATGGCCATTGTGCCTCTCTCTTGTGTGGCAGAAGAATACAGACAAAGGAAGGAGAGATTAAGGTCACAAATATGTTAAGGCTTTTTTTTTACATAAAAAAGTTTTTAATGCCTTTTGTTTTATTTGTTAAACCTAGATATACAAAGTAAAGAAAGGAGAAGGAGAAGAAACCAAGGTTAAATTCAAATAGCATGTACCGCAGTGTTACATACAACTCCACAGTATAATCCAATTCATTTCTACCAAGAAGTATGCTCAGCTATACAATGCAGCTTATTTCTGGGTAAGCATAGGACTTCAGCCTAAACCAGACTCCTTCAACCTAATGCTCTCCTAATGTATTGAACTGCCAGCTCCTATTGTGTTCAACTAACATGTAGTCTGATACATGTCTAGAGTAAAGTAACCCTAATAAAATTCAGTTCTACTAAATTCCTGGTAAATACGTACAAAATAGCAATGTGCACCTTCAGTGTGAAAAACATTAGTTCAAAGAACCATATTCTGGAATGAATACAGTGGTGCCTTGCTTAACGGGTGCTCCGTTTAGCAATGAAACCGCATAGCAATTAACTTTTTGCGATCGCAAAAGCAATCGCATTGCGATGTTTCCTATGTGGTTTTATTGCTTTGTGATGATCGGTTCCCTGTTTCGCTTACCGATCATCGCAAAGCAATGATGTTTAAACAGCTGATCGGCGGTTCCAAAATGGCCGCCGGGTAAAAAAAATGGCCACCCACTGTGTTTTCGCCCGGATTCCTCACATAAGAGGCAGCGAAAATGGCTGCCGTATGGAGGATCTTTGCTTTAAGGTCAGTTTTTTTGCACATAGGAATGCATTAAACAGGTTTTAATGTGTTTCTATGGGCTTTTTAAAATCGCATAGCGACGAAATCGCTTAGCAGCGATTTTTGCTGCACGGATTAACATCACTATGCGAGGCACCACTGTACTTAAATCTTGATGAATTTCCAATGTCATTTCTGTAGGAAATTTTGCTATTGCAGATTTAGAGCAAAAAAAAAATCTAGTTATTAAATTAATTTGCTTTTGCAGTAGAACATAAATAGAAAGTAACAGGCTGACTTTTCTTAGTAAGATGTTCAGAACTTAAGAATTTCAAGGCTAGTTTGCACCCCAACATTTAAGATGGAAGTTAGAATCCAAAAGTTTAGAATTTCTCAAAGGACCTAAGATGGCTTACATCATTACAAACACAATATTAAAAGCTAAAACCAGTAAATTGTTCAAGTATTAAAGAAGAATTAATAACATTATATTACAAATGTTTGATAAAAGCAATATTAAAAATAGATTTTGAAGCAACAAAATATAATACATCCCATTTATTGTCTCTTAGACAGCCAATCACTCAGAAAAGGCTGCCTGAAGAGTTCAAGTATTAAAGAAAAATTAATAACATTATATTGCAAATGTTAGATAAAAGCAATATTAAAAATAGATTTAGAAGCAACAAAATATATTACATCCCATTTATTGTCTCTTAGACAGCCAATCACTCAGAAAAGGCTGCCTGAAGAGAAAGGTCTTTTCCCTGCAGTAGGACAGTAAAGATGTGGCCAACCTGGTCTCCTGTGGGAGGGAGTTCTAGAGTCTAGGAGCAACAACAGAGAAGGCCCTCTCCTGTGTCCCCATCCAGTACACCTGTGAGGGTGTTGGCACTGAGAGAAAGGCTCCTCTGATAACCTTAATGCTTGGGCAGGCTCATAAAGGAAGATAAAGTTTTTCTCATCTGATAACCTTAATGCTTGGCAGGCTCATAAAGGAAGATAAAGTTTTTGAGATAGCTTTGACCCAGGTCATTTAGGACTTTATAGGTTAGAGCCAACAATTTGAATTGTACCCAGATCAGCATCCAGTAGAGCTGCTGTAACTGGGGTGGAATGGCGGGGGCGGGGTATGTCATCCCTGTATCCAGCCCCAGTTGACAATTTGACTGCAGCATTTTGGACCCGCTGAAGTTTCCGAGCACTTTCCAAAGGAAGCCCCACATAGAGCATGTTACAGTAGTCTAGCTGTAATAAAAATAGATTTTGAAGCAACAAAATATAATACATCCCATTTATTGTCTCTTAGACAGCCAATCACTCAGAAAAGGCTGCCTGAAGAGAAAGGTCTTTTCCCTGCAGTAGGACAGTAAAGATGTGGCCAACCTGGTCTCCTGTGGGAGGGAGTTCTAGAGTCTAGGAGCAACAACAGAGAAGGCCCTCTCCTGTGTCCCCATCCAGTACACCTGTGAGGCTGTTGGCACTGAGAGAAAGGCTCCTCTGATAACCTTAATGCTTGGGCAGGCTCATAAAGGAAGATAAAGTTTTTGAGATAGCTTTGACCCAGGTCATTTAGGACTTTATAGGTTAGAGCCAACAATTTGAATTGTACCCAGATCAGCATCCAGTAGAGCTGCTGTAACTGGGGTGGAATGGCGGGGGCGGGGTATGTCATCCCTGTATCCAGCCCCAGTTGACAATTTGACTGCAGCATTTTGGACCCGCTGAAGTTTCCGAGCACTTTCTAAAGGAAGCCCCATATAGAGCATGTTACAGTAGTCTAGCTGTAAGTAAGGTGTGTGTCACTGTGGCCAGATCAGACCTCTCCAGGAACGGGTGCAGCTGGTGTACTAGTTTTAAAGTGCAAAGGCATTCCTGGCCACCACGGAAACCTGGGCATCCAGACTCGGAGATGCATCCAGAAGAACACCCAGCTGTGCACTGGTGTTTCCAGAGGCAGTGTAACTTCATCCAGTACAATTGCCAGACAGCTGGCAGATCCAAGCCAGAGACTCTGTAGCCAACTCCATGCCTCAGGTTCTGCATCAAGGGAGCCTGCCAGGCAAAAAAATGTTTCTACATGCTGTTCTACAATTGCAAGATCCTCTCTCCATCATGATCTGCCTAAATGAATAGTTGCAGTGCCACTACTGTAGATTCAGTTGCTGTTTTCTTACTGCTGCTTGAGTTCCCTGGTGAGTTAATCCTAAAACTAAGGGTTGGCTCATTAAATATCATAACGTATTGAAGTGTACTTATTTTTCTCTTCACTCCATTTTGGCAAACGAAACAGACATTTGCGGCAATTAAGAACACTGTGAAGCATATTCACGTCCAAATGAAGCCAATGGTGTTTGTCAATCCTTAATTGCATGGCATTTTTTTCGATTCAAATGGAAGCAACAAGAAGAAAATTGGTGCTCTGTTTATTTCATACACAGTGCACGAGTCTGTTCTGAATTCTTGTATAAAGCCACGCCTAGAACTCGGAATCTAATTTTCCTCCATGGAGTCACATAACATCCTTGATCTTCCAGTGGTTTCAAAATAACATGTAGCAAGCATATAGCGAACCCCGCTCAGATAGCCACAAAGTGCATAAAACTGCTCAAGGGGAAATAGTATTTCTTCTGTATCCAATGTATGAAGTTAGCTTGCTCTGGAAGAGTGAGCAAATAGACCTGTTACACCTGAAATTGGGCCTGACGGAAGAGGCTGGGAGCTGCATATGAAATGAGATTCCGGCTCTCTCTGCTCCACGGCACCTAATCATATGAGGCTATATGTCTAGCCCTCTGATGATTTTATAATTACACTTGTGCTATCTCTAGAACTGCACCACATTTTTCTATATGCTTAGGGCCCAGCTTCTGAAAACTGAAAATGTATCAATATAGGTAAGTCCATGTTTTGAAAAGAGAGCCATTTGTGTATTGCACTGTTTTTTGAAACCTTTGGAAGATGGTTGTGTGATGTCTGGATTAATAATGACTTCTCATATATTCCTGATTCAAAATGACTATTGGCTTGACAATGGGGGAGAGGCTGTGTGAGTAAAAAAAAAAAAAAGTAGTCTGCCCAACCATGTTGAATCTTATTCACAATCAACGCTAGAATACAGGTCAACCTGAATATTTGTTAGTAGGAAGGGTTCCTTTCAAGCCTAAAAAATAAAAATAAAATTAGGACTTGCTGAGCTATTTCTGGTAGGAAACCTTATCATTTAATAAGTTGTAGTTTTAGAAGAGATAGCCATGTTAGTCTGTCCTAGCATATCAGGCCAAAATAAAAGAGAAATAAAAAATAAGGAAGGCAAAAATGTTGTGGCACCTTAAAGAGTAACTGCTATATTTTAATGTGAGCTTTTGTGGACACATCTGCTTCGTCATTTAATAAGGTTGTTTCCCTGAGTTCAGCGCAGAAGACCTGTTAGATGTCTGAATTCCAACCAAATTATCTGTGAAGCTTGGTTTCTTTGACTCAATGACTTTATTGTTGTAGCAGCTGACATATAATCAGTGCAGGGGATTTGGGGTGTAGGAGAGTGAAAGGAAAGGTTCATATTTATTTATTATTTTAATTTGTATGCTGTTGCTCTATCCAAAGGCATAAGAACTGCATACAGCATAATTCAGTACACACAGAAAAAACATAACATCTTAAAGCAAGCTACTTCACTGTGTGATAAGAACACAACTGAAATGAATAGCCTTTCTTAACCCCCTTTGCCCTCAGAATTTTCTGTTAGCATGCCCTCTCCATGGCAGCTTTTTGCAGGGAATAAGATAGGTTGAGTGCTCTCCTAGGTCAGAGAGCATTCAACCAGCTGCCAGGGAAGTGGAACGAAGACCAGCAAAGTACATGAATACACTGCTTTCCCATATGTATCTGGTTTCTAGGCTATAATTATTTCATTTGGCGTTTCCTACAATTTTGGAAACACTTTGTACTCCAGCTGGCTCTGAATTACTGCTGCTTGCCTATAAACAAAAGCCTTATTAGATCAACAAGCGTGCTTGTTTTTTCTATTTATACTTCTGCTCTGTATTAATATTTAAGGACACAGTGTGGAACACCTGAGCATGCTGCTCTGCTCTTGCATTATTGCTGCTTGGTTTATTATACAAGTAGCATTTTTGTTTTGTTCGTGGGTAGTAAATTTTTTCTTTACTATAAAGCAATCTTTGGAAGGCTTTTGAGAGGGAGAGAAAAGAGAGAATTGATGGTTAAGCAAGCAGGAAGATTTGAGGAGTCTTGCTGGATGGCCACTTCCCTTCTAGCTCCTCCTTTAAGTGTCATCGCTGATGGCCATTGTCACATCCTGCTACAGAGCATGATCTAGTGAAGCCATTCCATCAGTCCCACTGAAGGACTGCTGGCATCTCTTCTTTCTTTTCCAGTCTTTCTTTTCCTTTCTCCTTCTGTGCCCTGTCTTATTCTACGCTTGTAGATAGAGACACTTATATTTACTGATTCTGTGTGAGTCCGTCCAGGATATGTGACCAGTTCCCCTTTTCATATGTTCTTCTCGCTCTCTTTTTAAATAATCCTTCCACATTCACTTTTCCCTTTTATCTTTTTTAAACTTCTATTCTTTTTCTTCATATCTGGGACTGATACTGACATAAGGTGGTGCTCAAAATTCAAGAAACAAAGAAAGGTACCTTATATTATGTTGGAACACTGATCCATTTTAGCCCCAGTATTGGTGAGTTAGTTTAGCAGTAATGTCCCAATCCATTGGCATTCCATCTAAATATTAAGTGCCTAATCCTGCTTAACATTCCAAATCAGGCATATCCATTTGTTCAGGCACAAGGAATAGCCTTGATTTCTTATTTTCCTGATCTGCTGCAACCCCACTTTAATGTTTTGTGGAATGAGATATCTTATACAGAATTGGACCCTTGATCTTTCCAGCATAGGTGTATCTATCCCAGTAATTGATCTCAGAATGAGATCTCAGAATCTGTGCACTTCACATGATGTACACAAAGGAAAGGGAAACAACATGTAATCCATGCATTTCAGAATAGTGGGAAGGCTGAGTTGTGTGCCTTCTCAGTCTGCTGTCCAGATGACAACTATTGTTCCTGCTACTCTCCCTTCCTATGATTTTCTAAATCTTTAAACCAAAGTAGACTTGAACAGACTTAAAGGACACCTTCAAAGAGGGGACTCTAATCCAACACCAGAGTATCTTAACTCAAACCTGAGATTCCAGGCTTAATCAATGAGATAGTTTTCCGGGATCAATAGGCATGTCTCAGTTGAGAGGTGCAAGAGTCTGCAATCCACCGTGAGCTCCAAACCATAGAAAGCAAAGCTCCAAACCATATATAGCAAAGATGTGGGCAGATCTTTCAAGACTATTTTCACAGGATTCTCATTTTCCCATCTCCATGTCTGCTCCATGCTGGTGTGGTGCAGGTTATTTTTTAACATGAAAAAAAATCCAGATTTATTATTGTATGTGTTTTATCAAATGGACACAGTAATAGATATGAGGTTGTGATGACTTAAGTGTGCTCCTCTAAGTTTTAGAAATATATACAGTACATTAGCCCTATTCAGTTAATCTTAAATCTGGAATTGTCAGCATGGTTACATGTGAGCAACACCGAGTCCGAACAGGAGAGATTCCTGCTTGTGTATCAGCTTTACACAGAAGCAAGAACTCTGGAGGTCTTGTTCACATTTATGGCTTGTATATTTTCCCATTATCAGCTGCAAATTATCCAACAAAAATTATTAATTATTGTTATTTATTTCATGAAATACATCACTTGCCTATGAAGATGGATGAATTCTTTACAAGAAGTCATACCAATTTCTGCTTTGTTCTGGGAAGTGTGGCTAAAATAAACAAAATGAAACCAATTAATTTCTCATGTATCCATAGTTCTTGGAAAAGTTCTACTCATGGAAAAATATTGTAAGGTGGTTCATTGAATTAAGGGGTTTTACGACAGACTTATAAAAGATTTAGGTTGTTCTGGAATGATTTCCAAGTGCAGGAAAGAAAGATACTTGTATTTCCTTGATTAACAAAGCAGGGAATCTAAGCTCTACGTATGTAGAGTTTTTCTTCTAAAGGACATGCAAAAGCTGAGAGCTCTCCAGAACCAATCAACAATTGATACAGGAACCACCGATCAGCCGTTGTGAAACAGGGTACCGATCATCGCAACGTGATTTTTTCCTATCTAAAACATTGCAATGCGATCGCTTTTGCGATCACAAAATCTTCGTCGCTATGCAGCTTCATCGTTAAACGGGCCGCCTGTTAAGCGAGGTACCACTGTATTTCACAAGCATTTGCTTTACCATAGCTCAAGGCTGTATAGGACAGCAATAAAAATGGAATAACATCAGACTAGCATTGAAACCAATTAAGTACAAATTAAATTAAAATGACATGCACCAATATTTCAGCCATTTCAGTTTAAAGGAAAAGTATGCCACTGATATTACCTTATTCAGCCAACTATCATCTGCTTCATTCCCACGTCAACCCCACCAATTACCTGGAAATCAAAAAGAGAAAGACACAAAAGCCAATAAGATAATTCTCATTTACATAATAATTTCCCTGTACTCTGCTTAATAGCCTGAGAGCACTGTCAAATATATATATCATCCATTTTAGAAGAAGCTTCAGTGCAAACTGAAAGTAAATTATATGGACTTCCATTTTGTCTTCTGTTAGTTGAGTGATATTTGCAAGCTCTGGTTTTATGTGTCCTAACATGGACAAATGTTTGTATCCCTTTTTCACAGAACCTAGACATGGCTTCTTTCAGCTGTAGGCATACTTGTGGCAAAGCTTACTGCAGAATCCCTCCAAGGCTAATGGTAAGTATTTTCTCCCGAAATTTCCTCATACATATCTCTATTAGTCTGTCAATTTAGTATTTTCATTTATGTTTCATGGTCGATTGGCAGTCAGTGAAATTGGATCCTTTCTATATGTTTCTTGCTTCCAAAGTTGATGAGGCAAGAGCTTTGTCAATGATACAATGCTCTTCTCAAATGCTATTGTGACCAACATGTCTTCATTTGACTCTAATGGAACTTTTTTTTGTATGAAAAGGTTAGCATTGTCTCCAGCATTTCTCCACTTCCTAGTACAGCTGCCTGCTTGGGAACTAATTAGTGTTACTTTGTGATGCAAATATTATTCTATTAGGTGTTCAGTGGAAACTACAAATTCAATCCATATAAGCAGAACTGAAGAAAACCCAGATATGGCAATTCCATCACTTAGGAGAGATTTAGGCCTTTGTTTTATATAGGTAGGAAAGGGGATGATGATCAGATAGACACAGAGCTTGTTATTTAGTTCACTTCTGGTCTACTTTGTTCACACTATTTTTCAGCAATCACATGAGTTTTAAGTAGGAGTAATCCATCTCTAGCTTTTGCAAGCTGTTCTCTTTTCTGGCACAGTGCTAGGTCTACAGTTTATTTTGTGTGTTGACACTGCTTCTGATTATCCCATTATGGAGTATGTGTTGTTCCTTAATTAACTGCCACATAAAGCTGTGGGAGGCATTCAGTTACAATCCCGTGATGTATGCAGTGGATTGTAACAATAGAAAGGACAGCAGAGAAACCCTCTCCTATATTTTCCTTACAATTTTAAAAATATTATCCTACGTAATGCAGTATCGTTGCAGGTATAAGGAAGTATCCATGTTAGACTGATGTATTGCTGTAGCGCTATGCCACTTATTAAATTAAACAAAGAGAGAAGTTGCTGAAGCCCATGGAATGAGAGCTGTGACAAAAGGATAGGGAAAAGGAAGAGGAAGGGTGTTAATAATTGAAAGGGTGGAAATTGGAGTGATCTGAAGTGCTGTCTGGCGAATTATTATTGAAAGGGTGGAAATTGGAGTGATCTAAAGTGCTGTCTGGATCATTCTCATAGGAGAAGAAAAGTCTCCCATGTGAATGGAAGGATTTCTCAAGGGTGAGATAAAATAGGCCACACACACACACACAAAGAGCCTTTTAAATGTAACCTGAATCATTCCAAAGTGTCCTATCTAGATGTGCCCAAGGTTTCTTCCTCCTTAATTTAAGAAGGCAACTTATCATACAGCATAGTATTGAAGTCTTGGACTTTGGCCAGTGACCAAAGATAATTTTCATTATAAATAATTTGCATGGGGTTTCTTCATGTCACAATAACAATAGCCCTATTTATTTATTTATTTATTTATTTATTTATTTATTTATTTATTTATTTATTTATTTATTTATTTATTTATACATACATACATACATACATACATACATACATACATACATACATACATACATACATACATACATACATACATACATACATACATACATACCCCGCTTATCTGGTCGAAACGACCACTCTAGGCGGCATTAGATACCCATAGATAGCTACACTGGAAGGGCTTCCCATTAACATACAAAATGCTCTGAAGGTAGCCCTGCATTCTTCCAGCATGAGGACTGACCATGTGCATGAAAGTTGGGCTGTGGAGTTCTTCCCTAAGCAATGCACAGTGATTACTAAAATATATCAATCAGTAATATACACATGCTACACACACACACCTCAATGGACTTAATATAAACCAAGGCTTTCTACGGCACTCTCAGATATGAACACTGCAAATATTGTACTGTACTGCATCTCCCACATATTTTTCTCCCCCCAAAAGATCCATCTTAGAAACTCCAAAGGTACAGCAGTTTCCCTACTCTGCTCTTGAGGTCACCCATTGCCCAGGGTAATTCATACACTATTGCAACTGATTACAAAGGAAAGCTAGTAGAGGGAGAAAGTTCATCAACTATTGTAAATAGCCAATCTAATTAATGATATTCTACCGTTGTTATTCTATAACAAAGGTTTTCACATTCTTTACAGCACAAGCTTCAATGAAAGACGTGCATATCAAAGGCACTATCACCACAATGTTAAACACCCACTGACTTTCTTACTAACCATATCTCTGTATTGGCTATCTTTATTTTGATGCCATGTTAAATCTCTTTCTCTTAAATCTATTTCTCTTATGTTTGATGATGTGGAGTTATCCACGAAAGGTCACATTAAAAAAATATAATCTTTTAAGGTGCTACCAATTTTTTTTCTTTTTTTAATTTTTATTTCTACTTTGCTTTTGCTTATAACTAGTCAGTAAGTGAACGATGAACTCTGTTTCCTGTGTTGTATTGATTTCTTCTCTTTGTTTAGCAGACAGATTCATGAAGACTTTATATCTGCATCTGAACCTCTAAAACACAAACAAATAAGAAAAAAAGAGAGGAGAGAATGGCCTTGTGATCCAAATTAAAAAGGGAGCTTAACTACAGATGCTTGAATACCAGCTTTCTTGGTTTGACATTAAAAATGAGGGGTGAGGGTGGAGGCTTGGAAGAGAACAATCCTTCAGAATCAGGATATGCCTCTTAGCATTGATTGAAAGCCCTGCAATTACGCATAAAAGCAGCCCCTGCAGTCTACTAGAAATACATTAAGAGAGATTATCATGAAATAATTAGAAAGAGAACTCAGATGTCTTTTACTCATTTTCTCAACTGAGTGGTATCTGTTTAACTGATAGCTATTCGTATATAGCTGGAACAACTTTTAAATTCTCTAGCCAAGCAGGACAGACTAACTGTATGTGGTTAGAAGTGTGTCAATATTTGTATATAGCTGGAACAACTTTTGAATTCTCTAGCCAAGTAGGACTAACTGTATGTGGTTAGAAGTGTGTCATGATCATGGTATATGTTGGTTAGAAACATGTGATGATGATGGGACTCAATATAAAATGGAGTCGGAATGATTCTGAGTAGAGATGATTTGAAGGACTTTTGAATGTCTTAAGCATCATGAGACTGTTTTCCTGTGTTATCTTGAAGGCCACGTTGAGAGGCCCACGGAAGACTCAACATTCCAAGCCTATTACAGAAGACAAACAACACCTGCACCCTCGTGGAAATAATAGGTGGGGAGAGGTGGTACAACCTCTTAAATTTAATTGGTCAACAGCCAGAAAGGCCATGAAGAAGGGAGGAGCTTGGGGAAAGTAGAAAATGGAGAATGTGTTATGTAAAATGATTCTCTTGTTCCATTATTCTCCTACTGATAATGGGTTGAGACTGATGATGGATTAAGACTGATAATTGATTTCTGTTCTGATGATGATATGAGCGTGTAGCTTGAGAGAGAGAGAGAGAGGATGTGAGAGAAGGAGAAAGAAAGAAGCAGGGCTAGCTCTCTATAGCCTACCTACGTTAGGTTTTAGAAGTTTAATATTTTAAGTGGTAAATAGTTATTTTATTTAACTGCAATGGTATTTGAATATGTTCTCGAATGCTGTGCTTTTGCAACATAAACTGATTTTCTATTAAATATTTTTCTAAAAAAATATAATTCTTATTGAGGACTGGTCTCTTGAACAGCAACATCTGGCTAATTCCAGTAGAGAAGAGTGCCACAAGTTTGCTACATTTCAGAGTCCTGCCTCACTGAGCTGTTGTGAGTTCTTAGGAATCAAAAAGCCCAGCTGTTTGTACTTGCTAAGTTCAAAGTGTTCAAAGAGTAAGTGCAAAGTGTTTTTGTTAACATTTTTCTTAAACCATGGTGCCTGGAACTAGACATAATGCTCCTGGTGAGAGCTGAGATCTTGAAATTATTAATAGGTTGGATGCCAAGGTCTCTCAACCTTGATTTAGAATATTTTCACAACCACATGGGTGTGGCAATGTGTAGTACTTATGTGACTTTTGAAGAATTTTCAAAGAAGACTCATCCAGCAGTTGAAACCAACATGTTCCAGTTGTAAAGAGTGGCCACACATGTAGAGGACCAGAGAGAAGGGTGAGAGAAATGCTACAAATGCTTGAACAGAAATCCTGTTCAAATAAATGCCTAATAAAGGAACAAGACCTATACAGTGGTGCCTCACTTAATGATTACCTCATTAAACGACAAAACCGCTTGATGATGGAGTTTTTGCTATCACTTTTGTGATTGCAAAATGAAGTTTAGATAGGGAAATTTCGCTTGATGATGATCAGTTCCCTGCTTCGGGAACCGATTTTTTGCTAGACGACGATTTTTAAACAGCTGATTGGCAGCTCTAAAATGGCTGCCCGCTGTGCAAAATAGCTCCGTGCTGTGATGGATTCCTTGCTTTACAGGCACCGAAAATGGCGGCCCCTATGGAGGATCTTAGCTGGACGCTGAGGTATTTAGCCCATTGGAACACATTGAACTGGTTTAAATGCATTTCAATGGGATTTTTCGTTTCACTTGACGAGGATTTCGCTTAACAGCAATTTCAACGGATCGAATTATCCTCGTCAAGCAAGGCACCACTGTATCTGAAGTGTGTCAGCTCCCCAGGTGATGTTGCATAAGAACCAAGTGCAGTCTTTCCAAATTTAAAAAAACAATTCAGTACTCAATAAGTCCCCTCTGTACTCTCCAGAGGCAATCGGAACAATTTTGCTATTTTAGAGAGGACCCTAGAACCTCTCAGCACCCCATAACCCCTCCAGTAATTTTTTAAAAAATGTATTGGCCGCTAGAAGGCCTAGAGGGCTTTTTCATCTAATTCTTTCGGTTAAAAGTTGTTTGCCTGCCTGCCTGTTTGTGTTTGCAGGGATAGATATAGCCTCCAGAGACTGGCATTTTCCATCTCACTCTTAAGCAGCACTTACATAGACTCTTGAAAAGGAAACTAAGTAATTCTGATGGACCTTTTTCTTGTTCTGCTGTTTGCATTTTTATAAAACCTGGTGACTGAGTATATGAAAACAATATGAAGGGCTAAATTAGTCATGCATGTATAACATAAACCCTCAGGTATACACTCAGACAAGCTGTGCTTGAAGTCTCCTACATTTTCCAGTTTAAAGTATTTAAGCCTTAACTAGAAGAATTTAATTAAAAAGTTCTTAGATGCTACTGTGACAATATCAAAGTCCATGTTTTTAAATTCCCAACAACTTAATAGTTTTACAGAATTGCAGGACTTGTTTCTTCTTGATTTAACATGTATTCATTGGGGAAAGACTTGACCATACATACCTCCAGTGAAGTATTCACCTCTTTCTGAGAGCTAAGTGAAGCTATAATTTTGGGTTGATCAAAATTATCAATTTATATTAGCACAGTGGCTTTACAGACCTAGCATCAAAAAGAAATCTTGTTTTAAACCCAGTAGGTTATGCATGGACATGAGTGAAAAATGCTTCAGGACAGTTTATAAGACTTTACCATATATGAACCCTGTAGATTACTTAAGTATTTGTTTGATTCAAGACTTAGGGATAATTTAGGATATGTGTGTGTGAACTGAATTGGGGTATTTGTGCATCCAAGGTACCCATATAAAGCCAGGACCCTAGTGACATTAATGGGGCAGAGTGGTGCATTCAAAGATATCTGTGAAACCTAGTATTCACACATCACAGTTAGAAATGAGGAAAAAGAAAGAAAAGCTCTATAATGAGCACAAGAGGGTATACCGTAAATTATCTTAACTGCTGCCATAGGTGTTGTCAACATTCAAGTTGCCCTTTGCTATGTAAAGCTCAGTATCCTTTTTTCCTGTTTGTAACACAAACACAATATTTTACTGCCATTTTGGGCCATTTCCTGGCATTTTGGAGTGGGGACACAGAAGCACAAAATCCAACATTAACATACTGGAATATTTTTGATGAACTGAATTTCCTGGCTTTTTAAAAGAGAAGTTGTAGTATATATGCACTGTATACTACACACAAATTCTAACAGAAACGTCACTCATGTAAAATTACCCAGAACTACAGGATCCTGGAAGACAAGAACATGATATGTACTATGGTTGTTGGGAGAGAAGACAAGCAAGAACATGTGGGATATTGCTGTAGTCCCTCTGTGCCATAATATTTTCAAGGGTTGTTTTTGAACATAATGATGAAGCAAAGGTGTGTGTAAGTGCAACATATACAATACGAAACATACACACCCTTTAGTCTCTTAGGTAAATAATGTTGCCATACTATGTCTGCAGAATGCAGACTAGAAAGATATCTTCCAATTTCAAAACCCAACCCTTGGGGTAGGCAACCAAAATAAGCTATGTGAGTCCAAAAGCTTTGTAAACATGTTATGTGTGTGTATGTTCTCCAAAATATGTCTTTTGAAATTTAAAAAAAGGTGGGGAAGAGCTGAGAGTTAGCAATGATTGTCACAGGAAACCAATGTAAAAATTATTCATACTACGGGGGGAAAAAACAATGAAGTAAAACAGGGACAAAAATCAACTCATTTGAAGTGTGTTGGAGGAGAGCAGAAGAGATGCAGAAGGCAACCAGCAAGGTAGAAATGTTGATGCTGAATCAAGTCAAGCCTGAACTCTCACTAGAGCAAAAATGGAGAAACTGAGTCTATGCTACCATGCACATATAATAAAAATATAGAACTGATCAGAAAAGACAGTATTACTGGGAAAAGTGGGGGAAGGCAGTAGGAAGAGAGGAAGATCTAACATGAGACAGATTGTCTCAATAAAGGAAGACATAGCTGTTCACTTACAGACCTGACCAGAACTTACTGGAAAAGACAGTATTGTGGAGCGGGGAGAGGGGAAAGAGAACAATCTAACTTGAGATGTTGTTGGTTCAAAAGATCTGAACAGAGCTTCTAATGATAGGACATTGTGGAGGTCATTAACTCATATAGTCACCCCATATTAGAAGTAACTTGATGGCACATAATATCTTTGGAACCTTTTCTTAATTGCCGGATAATTGTAAAGTAACAAGTTGGGTGGAATCATTGATATAGACAACAAAGCTCTGCTAACATCAAGTAAGACCATCTTCAGCCACAGAGCAAAAACAGTAGTTTGACAGCTTAAATGAGTGGGCTTCCAAATATTTGTTCTCTATTCTTTTAAAAATATATCTTAAAATATTATTACAACCAGAAACAAAACCCTTTTGCCAGCATGAATGC